AGTTGAAGCGTTAGCCACGATTCGTAGTCACGAGCGAGGCCGTTTCTCCTGGGAGGGTAGCCCGCGTAACTGCATCACACCTATAACCTCGCGTCCAGTCTTGATCGAGGCACTCGCACCTCACCGATTCGTCATCTTCTTGACGAGCAGTTTGGATCAAGTTAAATCCTTGTCCCAGGACTCGAACTGGCTACATAAAACTTTATAGTCTGCCTGATGACAGGGAATCAATACCACAGATTTTGAGCGGAGACTGAACTGAGTGAGAATCATGGAGCAGGCTGAGCATGATGACAGGATAGGCATAATTTATACGCGGACTCTACTTTCGTTTGTAATAAGCACAAGCAAGATCAAAACTAAAATTTAGAATTACGCAGAAATTTTAGCAATCGCGACTTTAATGAACTTTCCTGCAAAATGAAGACAAGCAGGACTATTATCTCTAAATAATGCAATTCAATTTAATGAAATTAATTTAATGTGCGTCAATCAGAGTTTCAGGATTCGCGGGTGAAGGACAGAGTTTTTACCCTCAAATAACAGATGTAGGGCTGAGTTTCGTTCGTCGTTCATGTATAAATTTATTTGGTGTCATTGACATTGCGAATAGTTAAGCTGTAAGCAATTAATCATCTGCATGTCGGTCCATAGCGTCGGAGGTCTCGCTCGACTCGGGCTGATGGTGTGAATCTCTATAGCCTCTGACAGTTTTCAGAGGCTGCATGGGAATTAGACTGAGCCTAAATATTGCTGGTTACTAACACTCCACTCAGAAGTTCTTTGCACTGCAAAGTGCAGAAAACTTTAGACCCACTGCAACCGTATTTTCGGCGCAGTCACCAAATAAAAATAATAATTAACTGTTGATGGCTAGATGATGAACTAGCTTTAGGGCCAGAAAGGTAACGGTGAAGAACAGGTCAAAGGCTCGTCAATGCTCGGAAAAACTTCCGAAAATAACAGTTGGTGTTATACTAACAGGCCCTGTCGGTAGTGCATCAAAAACAAGGACCAAAATTCCACTCACTGAGAGTTTTTTGCAAGGAACTTGTTTCTTGGTTCAACGAACGAGACAATTCGTTCCAATGAAAATGAATGTGGGCCCACGAACGATAATTCGAATAAGTAAGCGACAATACCATGGAGTATAGGGGCTGGAAAATAGGAGTTTCAGCGCGAATATTGCTGTTTATGATCGAGAAGTGTAGGCAAATCGTAAGAACCAAAGCGGAAGATAATTCCCAACTCAATATAATAGGTGTACAATTAAACTTGGTTACTAATCTCGGGTGAATTCTAGATTCAACTTTAATAATAAATCTAAATATAGCAAAAGTTCATTTTAGATAAACAATCGCAGAACTGACGACCACTGTAATTTTGAATATTTAATCAAGTATATTTTTTAGTATTTGATCATGGAACAAAATACATTAACTGTTGACAAAAAAAGCGGCAAGCTGTAACTGTTAAATATAATAGGCGCACTATCGCTGGCCGGCGCTCGGCCGATGAAATTCTACGCGGCACTAATTTTTAACAAGGTTAAGGATAGTCTGCGCGCTCTAGTTTCCTTTAGAGATCTCCAGATCGTTGAATCGTTCCGGTCTCTCCGAATAGATCGTCCGGAAGCTGGAAATCTTCTAAGAAGAGTCGCTCCAGAATGGCTACGGAAGTTCACGATAAATAAAGTCTTTGTTAAGCTCCACGTATCAAGCCGACATCGCACGGCGCGAGGAAACGCGCGTACGGAAAATAACGTAACGTTCTTGTCGACGTCTTCAGTCGAGTCTACTTATACTGTATGAGATTCGTGTTTTGTTGAGCAGTGTGTTGGACTTAATTTGTAAAGCTTTGAAACGCAGCTGTTATTATGTCGACACGGAAATGACTATAGCCTCATTTCCTGGGCCACCTGGGAACAGCAGTTTCTACAACAGCAATGTTCCCCATTGAAAATATAATATTATTGTCAAACTCTCACTTAATAACAACGATATTTCATAAACAATTAAGCAATATAATTTTTATTCGACGACACGTGGCGAAGGTCGCGTGTCAAAGATAATGAAAATTCTTGCCATTGACGACTTCCTGTGCGCAATAAACCCAGAATCTGTTCTTTCAGCTCAATTGTCTGATTGCGAAAAATTTATAGCGACATCTTCGTTAAAATAACGCTATGGCAAATTTTTGACAAGTGCCTGTTTATTGTCTTTGTATTCTCATAGTATAGTATTTTATAGTATAGTATGGTATAGTATAGTATAGCATAGCATTGATTAGTATATTATATTATAGTATGGTATAATATTTTACAGTATTGTATAGTTTAGTGGTGTCGGTGCTTCGTGTAATTTTCGCCACTTGTTCATTGAAGATCTAAATCCTGTTTTTTTTTTCGACCGTATCTATTCAATACTGACGTTTAATTAAATAGCTCCTTGGTTTTTAAAATTTCCGCGGGGTGATAGGCACTATAAATCTGAACATTTAACTCTGCATAGCTTTATCGAGTTAGTTCATGAACGCATTCATATATAGTCTGTTCCGCATGTCGGTGGAACGATACGGTGAAAAAGGGTTTTGCTAGGATGTTTTGCACAGTAGTTTTATTTGTTTATATTTATGTCTTCATATCCTAAGTATTTACAGTGAAATCTCGTCCAATAATTAGCATGAAATGTCCGATGATTAATTCTATGAACATAATCATGAAATGTATATATGTCTAGCGCTTAACAAGATGAACAATTGCATGAAATGAGCGAGGAATGTTTGCAATATATGGCTAATGAATGTGTTAATGAATATTAGCATTAAATACCCGACTTTTTCATGAATATTAGACTGAATGCGCCATGATTACCCTGCATGATGAAAATCATCAAGCCATTCCCTTTCAATTTTTCTATGAATATTTGACTGCAATCGAACAATTATTTCCTTGAGAAATATTATCTTGAAGTGCGTGATGATCACGGGAAAGGAATATTAGCATGAAATTCCCTATGAATATGGCAATGAATATCAGCAGTGAATGCCCGCCGCATTCGTCAATGACTTGCCGGCGGAGGCACAGGTCTGAAGACTGCAGACCGAGGTCGCCATTTCACGGCTGGACGGTCTACCGTATTGCCGGCACCTCATTGCCTGCCTGGTCATTAGTCACCCTGCTCTTGTGGCACATTATTGCACACTTGTGGCACATTATTGCATGCTTGTGACACATTATTGCACACTTGTGACACATTATTGCACACTTGTGACACATTATTGCACACTTGTGGCACATTATTGCACACTTGTGACACATTATTGCACACTTGTGACACATTATTGCACACTTGTGACACATTATTGCACACTTGTGACACATTATTATGCACTTGTGACACATTATTGCACACTTGTGATACATTGTTGCTTACTTTTGACACATTATTGCACTCTTGTGACACATTAATGCACACTTGTGACACATTATTGCACACTTGTGACACATTATTGCCCATTCAATCAACTCATTATAGCCTTCTTGTGAACCATCATTTCCCTCATTGTCAAACAATTATTGCTTTTTTTATCGATTAATCATCGAAAAATATTGCGATTAATCATTGCTGTTTATAGTATTTTTATTAACCTCTATCGCGTCTTTCTTATATATCGACCAATATCGCACATTTATTTGTATGCATGCGATTATGCATGTCGATAAAAACTAAGCTGAGTATAATTATCTTTTTTGTAGTTTCTAATTTCAGGATAAACGATTATGCCGCCTGAGTTTATTGCTTGAAATTGTTCAAACATTTTGACTTTGAAGCTCCAGGACATACTATACCAACTGCAATTTAATTTCAACAATGTTGTATTACAATAGCACATTATGCTGAGTGCGATAAGTTTGCTAAAAGCCCAGGTAGAATGTCTGACAATTATGTTATCACCATCTTTTTTCATATTTTTGCCAATGATATTACGATTAATGACAAAAATATATCATAACAGTGATGTTTGGCTGCCACAGGTAAGACGTTGCGGCTGATATATGATGCCGTTATCACCATTATAGGTCTTATTAGTTCCAATGATGTTATGATGTGGGCTCATACTTCATCACATTGAGTGACATATGGTGGCTACAGGCACGTGCATGACAGAGCCATTATCATAATCATCAGTCACGTATAATCATGTGAAGGAAATTATGATGTAAAACAATGACACGCTCGTGCTCACTGTCGTGAGATTTCCCCAGGCACAGGCATAACGGAGCCATTATCACCATTATCAGCCATATATAATCATGTAAATGATGTTATGATCTATAACAATAACACGCCGTGCTAACTATCGCGATATTTCCCCTGGCGCAGGCACGAAAGAGCCGTTATCACCATCATCAGTCATGTATAATTATGTAAACTATGTTATGATGTATAACAATGACACGTTGTGCTGACTATCGTGATATATTCCCAGGCGCAGGCACGATAGAGCCTTTATCACCATCATCAATCATATATAATCATGTCAACGATATTATGATTTACGTAGCATAGTAAAGGTTCGTGCTGACTTTCTTGACATTTCTCCAGGCGCAGTCACGGCAGAGCCTTTATCACCATCATTAGTCACCAACATGCCGTCCATTTCAACGACTGGAAAGGCAAATTTCAGTCATATATAAATATGTAAACGATGCTATGATATATAACAATGACACGAAGTGCTGACTATCGTGACTTTTCATCAGGCACATGCATAACGTACGGAGGCTTTATCACCATCATCAGTCATATATAATCATGTCAATGATATTATGATTCACGTAGGACAACAAATGTTTGGGCTGACTGTCGTGACATTTCTCCAGGCAAAAGCACGACAGAACCATTATCACCATCATCAGTCTTTATAATCTTGTCAACGATATTATGATTTATGTAGGATAATAAAAGTTTGGGCTGACTGTCGTGACATTTCCCCAGGCGCAGGTACAACAGAGCGGTTGGCTGTGCTGGTTTACATCCACGGCGAGTCGTACGAATGGAACAGCGGCAACCCTTACGACGGCATCACACTCGCCTCCTACGGACAAGTCATCGTCGTAACCATCAACTTCAGGCTTGGTGTGCTCGGTCAGTATTGCATGTATCTATTTATTAACTCAATTTTATACTAATTGTTCCGTTTTTAGTGCATTTTCTCATTTATGAAAAAATGCCCTGTTGTGCTCGCCATGTCTGTCCGTTTGTCTGTCCGTCCGTGACTTCACGTTTTCGTCGACGAGAAAATGCGCTCTCTGTCACTCACTGCAGTGAGTACTGAGTTATGTTTTTTAATACATTATTTTCTAAACTGGCTTGCGATGTTTCTAGAGCTGTCTACGGTAGCGCAGTTCTGAGGTCATATGTAGTAGATAGGCAAGTGTTTATGCAGAGCGTTGACTCTATGACAAGTTTATGTTTCAAAATTTTGGTCAACGGCTGCGCTCCCCAGAAAATACTCTATTGTTGGGAATTTTGGTTGCCTAGAAACGCAGCCGCTGCGTATAATATTTGGCGTATGCCTACGCAGAAGCTGCTTCTTTGCAAATGCGTTTGGAATATATTGAACTGGATATATTTGGAATATATCCAGAACTCTCCTGTATTAACAATACTCAGCATGATCAAAAAGCTATAGCTATTAAAACTCCTGAGCTCTAAGTTCCAATTTGATTTATTTATTTATTTAGCAACCCTTGAACATAGCAACCCTTGAACATAGCAACCCTTGAACATAGCAACCCCTGAACATAGCAACCCTTGAACATAGCAACCCTTGAACATAGCAATCCTTGAACATAGCAACCCATGAACATAGCAACCTTTGAACATAGCAACCTTTGAACATAGCAACCCTTGAACATAGCAACCCTTGAACATAGCAACCCTTGAACATAGCAACCTCAGAACTAAATGTTATTAAATGCTCGTCTTCTGAGTACAGGGTTCCTGCGTCCAGCTCTGAGCGAGTCTCGCGTCAGCAACTTCGGGCTGCTGGACCAGATCGCGGCGCTGCACTGGATCAAAGAGAACATCGCGGCCTTCAACGGCGACCCTACGCGGGTGACCATCTTCGGTCACGGCACAGGAGCCGCCCTCGCCAACCTGCTCCTCATCTCTCCTGTCACTCAAGTGTCTCAGGGTGAGGGCGGTCCTTGATTTTTCTTCAATTAAGGCGCATTAATTAATCCCTTAATTCAATTCAAAGGCGCAGAGCGCCTTTGAATTTTGAATGTTCAGGGCGAGAGCATCATCGAACTGCGGTGTCAGTCTGACTGCACCAGCATGGAGGGGTGTCAGTCTGACGGCACCAACATGGAGGGGTGTCAGTCTGACTGCACCAACATGGAGGGGTGTTGGCAGACACATTATTTATTCAGTACAGACTCTGGCGTCCGCGCCAGCAAGCGATTTTGGCGCAAACTTCAGTGTTGCGAGTTTGCTGCTGTTAATTTGCCTTTCATGGACCTAAAAAGTCGGCAAGAGTGGCAAGTTTGGCCTAAGTTTCCTCGTAAATTCATTTGGTGGCTGTTAGGCCGAAGTTCTACACACTCGCCTCCATCATAAAACTGACGGCTCTCAAAAAACAATGCCACAACAACCCATACGATTGCCCCAAGAGATGTTAAATCTCGGGAATTTGTAGTTCCGCGTGCCGTTACTAGATGTGCTTTTCTACGTCCCATTGCATTATACACTTCAGCGAAAAAATTTTATCGTACAGCCTACCCCGCGCTCTATTTAGGCTCGAAATAACACGTACAAAACAATAGCAGACGATGTCAATAGAGATTAAATTATGAAGTCTGGCCTAGCGAATGGAGCCACTATTTTGCAAAACGTCTCAAATTTTGATTTGCGCATTATAACTTCACTAATTTATTTACATATAACTATGGAATGAAATGAAAATAAATGCAATTACGTTGAGGCTCAACCGATTTCTTATTTGGCATATCAACATCTAATATCCAAATACGTCTATTGTGCACCTATATTTTAACGTCTAATATTCAACTTAAGAATTAACTTGCTGCTTTCTTGCCAGGTCTTTTCCAGCGAGCGATATTGATGAGCGGGTCTGCCTTGAGTAAATGGGCGCTAACGTGGGATCCATACAAGTATACAATACAGGTAAGTTTGGGCCGCGACCCGGAATCTAAACAAATATACAATACAGCGACATGGAACCTATACAAATATACAATACAGGTGAGTGTGGGCCGCGATGCGGAATCTATACAAATATACAATACAGGCGAGTGTGGGCCGGTATCCGGAACCTATACAAGTACACAATACAGGTCAGTGGAGGTCGTTACTCGGGATCCACCCAAGTATACAGTACAGGTGTGTGATGTGACCTAATATCCCGTACATATGACGGCAGAATCGTTGTACATTCCAGCCTAAAATGCAGTCTCTGCTCGACTATTTTATGCCCGTGCGACTGATGGCCTAAGAATGCATTTGATTAAATAATTATATGTTTGATTAAAATAACAACGTGAATGAACGAGCTAATTCTGCCTTCTAATATTAATTCTTGCACTCTTGACCATATTATTGGATAGAATTATCCTAGAATCTAGACCCTCCTTCCGGTTTACTGCAATTATTTAATCCGAGTTAACGTTTATACTTCGTCTCGCCATCCTCCCTCAGGTGTCCAAGGCACTAGGTTGCCCTCTCGTCGACCGTTGCATAATATTTAGCTTCTACCTAACCAAATCATTAGACGGGAATATGATAAAGTGTTCATCCGGTATGCAGATTTAATACGAAGTAACGTTGACGCTGTGTCCCGCCACCCTCAGGTGTCCAAGGCCTATAGGCTGCCCTCTCGTAGACCGTTGCCTAATATACAGCTTCTACCAAACCAAATAATTACACGGTAATATAATAAAGTTTTCATCCGGTATGCAGATTTAATCTGAAGTCCCGCTCTGTCCCGCCACCCTCAGGTGTCCAAGGCCCTAGGTTGCCCTCTCGTCGACCGGGGCGACGAGCTCGCGCAATGTCTTCGTCACAAGACCGTCGACGAGCTGCAAGACGTGCACCTCCAGACCCCTCCCTTCACTACACCGCTTGGTCCCATCGTCGACGGCGTCATCATCAAGACAGACCCATACACGTGAGACTAAAACTCGTCGTCTCGGCTTCGTATCAAATCGAACTAAAACGACGAGGAGTTGTGATGAATTGTATTTTTTTTATCAAATCCTATTTTAGATTTGAAATTCTTGGTTCATTTTTACTCGTGAGCCTCAAACTCGTCGTCTCGGCTTCGTACCACGTCGAACTAAAACGACGATGAGTTGTACTGAATTGGATTTTTTATCGAATTCTATTTTAGATTTGAATTTTTTTGTGCATTTTTACGCGTGAGATTCGAACTAATTAACTCTTGTTTCATGCCACGTCAAAATTTGTTTTGGTGAACTGCAATTTTTTTCTTAATGAAAAGTATTTTTGCTATAATTTTATTATTGTAAAAGTTAGTAGAGAAAATCTTATATTGCAAGAGTAAGTAAAGTGCTACAGATTAGGCCAACAACGACGTTGTTTGTAATAAATTACGCTCTTACAAATAAATGAGGGTGGTGAAAAAAATTCTGGTCAAATTTATGATTACAACCTTGTAGTTTCGATCAGGAGTTGGACGGGAATCTTCCGTAATAGATAAAAAAATATAACTCAGTACTCACTGCAGTGAGTGACACAGAGCGCATTTTCTCGTAGACGAAAACTTGACGTCACGGACGGACAGACAGACAGACAGTGGACATGGCGAGCAGAATAGTGCATTTTTTCCATAAATGAGAAAATGCGTTAAAAACATCGGAGGAAATTACTGAAATTACGATAATTTGTTGCCTTCTACCATAAATTCACACATCAGAAAGAGCCCGATTAAAAAATACTGTATGATATGCATGTACCTTACAGCACCCTATGAGTTTTTTCAATCATGCTGACACTATAATGGTGAAAATAATCGTGCCACATCATATAACTGAACACAATATTAACTTGTTATTGACTTGTTACGTCCTCCCTCGCAGCGCCTTAACGCTGCACGAAAAAGTTAACTTTAGCTGGAAAACTTTCCCGAGATCAACGCCACCTCGGATATTTTTGCCACATGTGATTTGTTGTGTGCAATATATCTTATCCTAAATATATCTTATCCCAAATATATATTATTCTAAATAAATCTAAGATATTTGTACCTGAGCCTGTATAGCAAGTATAGCAGATTTTACAGCTCCTCGATGTGATTTTACAGTGCTCCTTTTACAGCTCCTTGCAATCACTGAGGAGGATCCATACCAATCCCGTTTTTTACTGCAATTAAATCTAGAGCTGAAAGTAAGTTCATTCCTGTTTATTAGTGTCTTAAGAAAATGCAGAATTTGCTCTCGATCATAATTTTTTATTCGCGGTATTCATGGACTTTTTTATGATAATTAGAAACACGATCGTGCCGCTAGGTTATTAACAGTCTGCTAGGCCTTCTAGGATTTTACAGTCTTCTAGGATATTGATTCTAGGTTATTATTTCTAGTCTTTTATGTTATTAATAGTCTTTTAGCTTCGCACCAAATATCATTCGTGATGGCATACACGTTCCGGCGCAACGGCCCCGGACGTCCTTTAGCAACGGGTCCCCCAAAAGCGGAGCTTCCTTTAACTTTTGGATTTTGCGCGACGCGACATCGAGGAAGATTCTTGTGCAAGTTTCCGATGCCGACGCAATATCGTGCAGGCCGAGCACATCACACCAGGACTTCATTTTGATAGCTTGGTTACGCAAGAAAAAAAATGCATCCCTAGTTTCGCTTTAGCTCGCTGAGCGAAAAAATCGAGTTTGTGGTATCACTTCTTTTTCCCGAAAAGAAACTTTGAGGAACATGGCGAGAACTTTCTGACGATTTTGTGTGTTGGGAGCAGGGAAAAAATTCTTTTTGCTTTGTACTTTTACAATTCATGAGATTTCTTCTGACATGCATCGAAATTCTAAATAATATCCGTTACCGTCCAATATACAATCATGCAGTGAATTCATGAGAAAAATGAATTAAATACGACCTAAATTTTCTGACTTTCCAGGACCATGTCGGAAGATGAGAGAGTATTCGGTCGCTACGAACTACTATACGGCGTGACTCAGGCTGAGAGCTACAACATGTTCACCGCAGCTGAAGTCAAGTTCGGCATGTCTCTGGAAAGAAAAAACAAGCTTCTCAGGGCCTACGTATCGAACAACTTTAACCATCATGTGAGTTTGTCCCTCGGCATCTGTGCCCATCCCTCGCACCGAGGCGTGTTGCTGTGCGAGCTGCACATTCAAAATTTTGCTTGCGTAATTGGGAATTGAGATCTGTGCTGGTGCATTCTTACTCACGTTTTATATAGAAAAGAGACGAAATTTGTCTTGGCTTAGAAATTAGATGATGATTGATGTAGAGTAATAATTGTTTCTACAACGGTTTCTGTACTTCGTTGCCATCGTTGTGTTTGTTTCGCGAAAGTTTATGCTCTCACACAAGGCAATAGGCAGGAGATCTTGTTAACAAGCAGCAGAAATTTCGATGATATAGTTAAAAATTTTCATTTACTACTAAAAATATCATAAACTTTTCACGTTTTTCCGTTCAGGTGCAGAGATATTTGGAGAGGGAAATCCACGAAACGGTGGTTTATTTTGTTTCGTGACACCTGATTCCATTTCATACCTTTAATTATACATTAAGGTATCAAAGTTCTTAGGAAAGCAGGCTGTTGATAAAAGCTCTGATGGATCGTACGGAGTTGCATATTAATGGCCAGAGTTTTGTTTGCATTCATTAATTTAACAATTATCACGCTTAATTTAATTTTAAAATTAAAAAAATGTATTTTAACAGTTATCACACTTCAGAATTAGAAGCCAAACTTCTAATCGCACTATCCGAAGATCAATAATTTGCGAAAGATACGTTCACGTAAATTTTCCTCGCTCGTGAGATCACTGCACTATAGTTTCATAATGTGAAGCAGTAATAATAATGTGATTAATGATAGTGTAAGAGTCAAGCTGAGTCACTTGTAAATTTATAGAGGCTCTTGTTCAAACTCCACCTCGCAATGAGCCGGCAGTTTCCTATTGAGTGAGCAAAGCCAAGAAGAATTTGCAATCATGCGCTAATCCGTTTCTATCAAAAGCCTAGCATTTTAATTAAATTCATCAGAGGAATTTATTCTCTGTATCGAACATCTGATTGATGTCGTGCAAGCTGGCGCAGCATCAGACCTCCAACTCTGTCCCTACCCTGTGCTTGTCTCTAGGGTTGATCGGGTCTTATATTGTTTTGATTGCAACTTAACACGAATATCATGAACTTGTAATTCCATGGCGCAAGAATACAACGTCGAGATATTTGCTATGAATATATGGTATATTTTAAAATTGTTCACATATTTAACGGTTCAAAATTCATACAGTCGAAGGCTGTTCTATTCGTGATTAAAAAATCAGAACATTTCCCGCATTTTTATGTTAAGGATGAAGTAATGAGAGTACCTGTCATTGAAATTTTGATTAATTCCTCATTTTTTCTTGTTATTCACAGACATCGAACATTTACTCGGCGATTTTGAACCAGTATGACACGTTCAGCAGTGCACGGCTGCCAGACGAAAGATCTACGAGAGATTTGACCCTGGAGATCCTAAGTGACGCACAAATCGTGGCCCCGGTGGTGAACATGGGGGACCTTCACTCGAACCTCAACCCCAAGAGCTACTTTTATGTCTTCGACCATCAGACCGAGAATGGCGACTATCCCGTCGTGAGTAAAAGTTGTCGGTGGTTGAGAATTCGCTTGTGTATTCCGTAGTCTGACCGTAAATTACAACTTCCCTCTAGTTAGTCAAAGTCGTCGATGGTTAGAGGTTTCCTTGTGTATTTTGTAGTCTATCCTTGAACGATGACCATCCGTACGAAAGTTAAGGTCGTCGGAGGTTAGAGATTTCTTTGGGTATTTTTTAGTCTGACCGTGAATGGTGGCTAGCCCGCCCTCCGTAATGTCTATATTTATCAAGTATTCTTTACGTAATTGTTTCATGTCATCACGAAACTAATTTCGCGGAATGAATCATTAACCCTCGAGTAGAGATCATCTGCATATGATTAATATAATGGCGTTTTAATCAGTTTAGAGGCGTGCACTTCGTATTAGTTTATCAGTTCCATGTCACTACTATTTATTTCAACGCGTCCACGGGATAATGTGAATTGCTCGCTTGACAGTGTACAATGCTCACTGTGCATGCTCCTCACAGCACTTGCTGCTTGCCGTTACAGTCTGTTCGCAGTACACGCTTCTTGCCGCACATACTGTACAGTGTACATTGTTCTTGCCATGGTTGAATCAATTCCACCATGGTTCTTGCTGCTCGTTGTAGATAGTCGAACGAAGAAAAGTAAAAAGTTTCTCCTTTGGGAGCCTCATTGCTATTTGTTTGAACTCGTAAGAGTTTGACACCTTAAACAAGTATTTTAGAAACCATATATGTTCAGAAAAAATATCAGTCTTTTGAGCTTCCTAATATTTACAACAAAAACTAATCCAGTATTTTTTTCTCGGTTTTCTCACGAACAAATGCTTTTAGTCTCAGGGCACTGTGCACGGCGAGGAGTTGGCCTACGTGTTTGGGGCACCGCTGGTCGGAGGCTTCAGCCACTTTCCACTGAACTACTCCACTGACGAGGTCTACCTCTCAGAGCTCGTCATGAAGCTCTGGACCAACTTCGCCAAGACCGGGTACTTTGTAAAATTTATTTTAAAGCTATAATTACCGCTACTTTTTGCTAACTTCCGCAGCTAAAGCAACGGGCCCATAGCATTTGATTTGCTCTGCAAATATCATTGAGTTGCCAGTTTTTTTACGAAATGAGTGCAGCTGATGGTTTCTAAAAAAATTTACGACTTAAATGTTTGCTATGGAAACGATGTTAGCAGTATTTCGTTTGAATTTATGCTCAGAATTATTTAATCGGGGTTATAAATTGGTACAACGTAACTTGAACCGATCATCGCGAATTTTTTTCAACAATAATTGTGCACGCTGATTCGAAAATTTTCAAGTATACCCAGCGTCAAATTTCTGTCGTGGTCTAGGAAAAGAAGGCTCTAAAATATCACTTTTTAAGATATGTTTGACTTAGTGGCTATCCAATTGACTGCAAATAACTGTTTCTAATGTTTCGCCGAGCATACCTTAAGATGAACTTTTCTTGATGAACTAATCTTAGTTTGTAGCATACATTTTCCTATTGTATTTAGCAGCTGCAATGTGAGTACACAATAAACTTATTCGCGAAGTCAGACCCGCAGTAGGTAAACGGCTTCCATCAACGCCACATAAGTCACCACTACATACTTCTCCGTTGGTCAATGAAAACCATTCCATATAATACTACTTAGATTTGTAGGATTTGATAACCATTTGATGATAAGAAAGTTGTAAACGCGCTAAAAAATGAGGATCAGTTTTGTTTAAAAAATGGATCGCTTCAATGGAAGCCCGATCACTTGATTGGTGTGGCATCTTTATAGGCATTGACGGTAGACAACTCCTGGCTTGATAAACGGTTTTGCTTTACAAGAGTAACTCCTCAAAATAGGCATTTTCTACGAATCTGTTCATTAATTTTCTATGACAGTTTTCTTTGCATAAACTCATTTAATTCATAATAATTTGAACCGTCATTCATTTTGGACTCAACTTTCGGCTAGCATTTCAAACGAGGTTCTATTCGTCATCTTAAATACAAAAATGACTTTTTTCCCTTAAAAAATCGCTGAAAATCAAATTAAATCATTCTCTTTACTGGTCTCTCTACTAGTACTAGACTACTAGCCTCTATATGGCTCTATAGACAACTTAGATAAAGTTAATGAGATATAGATAAAGCCCTAACGGCTTTTTTCTTCAAACTCATAAATGTCGCTGAAATTATTTAATGATTTAATTTGAAGGAAATTAAATAGCTAGCATCTAAATAATAAAGTTCCATGACTCATTAGTTTACGTTGCTCGTTCATGATCTTGTTAATGATAGGAACTAGTTATGAAGGTGTTAACATCATTACAAGATAAAAAACGAGTATTCCAGGACTTTCGGTTAATAGAAAGCAAATGGCAAGAAAATACATAAAAATATACAAGGAAAAACTTACGCTGTATACATTAAATGACCATATCTTAACTAAGACAAATCAAGGGAAACGAAACAGGATAATCAATAATTCAGTTAATAAAACAAATCCAGCGAACCGAATGGCTTGGATCCTTGGGTATTTAGTATTAAGGTCTAACAATGGATCAGTATTTTGGTCTAAAAATTAATTCTGTGGTTCATGTGAAATGCACTGCGTCTATAGTAGGCTTATTCTCTTGCTGCAAATTCCAGTAAACATGGAAAATCAAAGATTGTGAAATTCCGGATACATCTGTTAACAACAAGAACTTGGATTTTTAATGCAAGAAAACATGTTATTTAATCCAATTATCCAAATATGGTTCTAGTATTTTTAATCCAAGAAAACATTAGAAACATGTTATGAACTCTTTTAATGACTGCATTGCAGGAACCCGAACCTGCCGACACCTCAGGGTTTCCTCACCTCCGAGGCCAACCCTAACTGGGATGAGAACTTACGTACCATGTGGCCGCCTTATGGCCGGCAACAAGAGTACCTTCATCTTGGTAAGCGTCACCTACAAAATTATTATTGTTCTCGTGAAAATATATATAATCAATAATTCTATATTTGAATGGATTTCAAGGGAAAATGTTCTTTCAGGTCCATGTCAGCAAGGCAATAAATTGTCACGTGAAATATATCAGGCTGCATAATTGTCATTTATAGTAATCAGGGCTATCTTTAATTAATTGCATAATCTGACGATTTTTTCCATTCAGAAAGACAGTTTAAAAATTACGTTTTAAATACACTGGTATAAAAAATTTGGGTGTGAGGTACGTTTGGAGATTTTTTCTGATTGGTGAACTGTAGGAATTGAACTCACAGTTCAAATAGTTTTAATCTATCACCTCTAATTTTCCGATTTTCAAATAGACTCATTGTTATATAAACGTTTGAACTCTTTGGCATATTTTACGAGTCCCTGTATTTTATACGCAATTAGCACGAAATCTAAAAAAAATACTTAATCAATAAATAGACTTGGCCGACACTATAACTCAATTCACATTGCCACAGACAGCAACAATTTTATTTTCTAAACGATCTGGTGTAATTTTATGCGTCCAGAGCGTCCGTTATAAGTTTACTATTACACACCAGTCTAATATTACAGTATTAATACTAACTATTACGGAGTAATGTACTTATTTTATTTATTTATTGAAGAAAAGTGGTTACCCCGATGGCTCGAGAACAAGCTTCACAAACCCAGTAAAAATTTACGTACGCGGCATCTTCTGATTTGGATTACCAGAAGCTGGGGCGACTCTAAATTTTGTTACCCAGTGAAAATTTACAGACGCGGCAGCTTCTGATTTGGATTACCAGAAGCTGGGGCGACTCTAAATTTTGTTAGGGAAGCTACTTCTTCTATAGTTTCCGTTATATTGTTACAACATCCGCGGATCTGAACACTTAGGGAAGCTATACTTCTTCTATAGTTTCCAATATATCATTACAACACCCGTGGATCTGAACACTTAGGGAAACTACTTCTTCTACAATTTCCAATATATCATTATTACCCCCGCGGATCTGAACACCTAGGGAAACTACTTCTTCTATAATTTTTAATATATCATTACAACACCCGTGGATCTGAACAACTCATGCACGTTGTTTGCTCGTATGTTACAGACACGCACGTGGTCAAAGACTCGTACTTCAGAGCCCGTAAGTTGGCGCTCTGGAACAGACTGATCCCTGAGCTCGTGTCGTCGTCAGGGACCATGAGTGGGGGACAGCAGCTGACATTCCCGGGGGCGACGCTCCCCACCATCACACTCGCGCCCACGGTGCGGACATACTTTTACTTTAATTAAGTTGAAATTAGGAAAATAAAAACACTAATAAACTTTATGACTTTAACAATAATAATTTATTATTATTAATTTAAGATTAGGATTAAATTATTAATTTAACAATAACAATAATTAACAATACATTGCAATAACGTTTAAATAGAAGGGAAATGAGAGTCGAAATAACCTTATAATTTGTTTAGAATCGCGTTTAGAATATACTTTAACTTCAATTAATTCAAACAACAAAATAGAGGAAAAATTACAATCGAATTAATCAGATTAATTGTACAGAATTTAGAATGTTTATGAAGAAGTATAGTTTTGGATTGATCCAGAATGATAAACATTTGTGAGTAGGAATAATAAGGCAGAAATTACTTCAATTTTCTTCGCTGATTAATGCTGGAATTTTAGCTTTAGGAACTAAAACTAAAAGATACTTTTTTTCAAATGGGTCTTTGAACCGAACATGCAAAACAGACTGATCGTCCGCGAGTGGCAAAGAAATTGCTTTGAATTATAGTCGGAAACTCATTTTACATGTCCATATCGAATTCTACTTTGACGAATCTCTGGATAATGATGATGGCTGACCATCATTATCCAAAGTAATAGTTATGAATACTCATTATCATTACTTTGAAAATTTTAGATGCAGAGCTCACGCCCTTTGAGTTACGGTTATAATTATGAATTTATTATAATAGATAGAGCGAGGTGGCAAATTGTTCTCTTCTGGACGCTTGATTATAAGTCTGAATTTGAAAGGATACGAAAAAACATAGTGCGAGTAATTTGTATTTATTTTTTATCTGATTTCAGACGGATTCTCATGTTGGTTCAATTCATCATAATGATATCAAAAGTGGTCATATCACACTATAGTATTCATGATGAGGATGATGTGAAATTTTCTCACATAACAAAACTCAACTTTTTGATAAAAAAAATCTAAAAAAGTTTAAATTGAATAACTGTTAATAATTAAATGCTCGCAGTGACGAATCTTCAACTCTTTTCCAAATGGGACTGGAACTATATGGGTTAGTGATGCGTGATCAACGAATTTAAGTAACAGTTCTCAAATAACTAACTGTTACGAATATGGTCACAAACTTTCATCTTGATCGCAGGTGGCCCCGGAATTTCCTGAGATGTTTGCCCCAGTCAAAACGACGCCTCGAACCGATTATTATCAGTCTGGCCCTCGAGTTATCAAACCAGTGCCAACGAAGCCAACGCCGACGCCTGTATTTCCAGTATCTGACAAAGAGGAAGAGACAGCCCAAGAATCTGTTGAAGAAATTGAAGTTCCGTTGGCAGGAACCCCATTTCAAATGGTCATCGTTATCGGTGTCCTCATCTTTTGCGTGAACTGCGTGATCATGGGTCTGATCGTGATGTATTATAGAAAACATAAACTCAGCAACGTGACTGAGGAAATTAAGGACACAGATTCGGCAGTCTCGGTGAACCCTTCAGAAATCTCGTCAGTCGACCTGATAGATTTCAATGAGACTTTGGATGCAGAAAGGAAGGCCCGTAGGAAAAAACGAAGCCTTGACAAAAATTCCAGTGACAGCAACGGCGTTGGTGAGAGCGCTTCCAGGACATCTTCATTATCCAGAGATTCATCTCGTAAAAGGAAACGAAGCCAAAGTGCAGACTCAGTAGAAAATTCTGAAACTACTGAAATCAAAATAGAAAATGACAATTTTAGAGGTCACAGGAGAAACAAAAGTAACCATTCAACTTACTCCGAGCTGGGGCAGCAAGAGACGGAGAGTGAAGAAAAGAGAGGATCTACGCGATCCAGGCATCCTTCGGTTAAATTCAATGATGTTCCTGAGCTTCATGATAAGAATCTTAATCGCAGTACATCTTCTATAGTTTCCAAGTCTTCGGTAAAAAGTAGTTCATCTCGAACATCTAATCGAAGTGGAACGTCCCGAAATTCCGTTAAGAATGGGACGACGAAAAATGTAAAAAGAAATGCATGCAGCCAAAGCCTACCCACAGTTAACTACGGGTGGGCAGCTTCTGAAGATACGATAAACCCTGTAAATTGTCCTAAAGCACAAGACAGTGTTGTTGTAGAAAATGAAAGCAAGAAAGAACCGGCAATGCGCAAGAGAAGCTTCCAGAAGGTAACAACAGAGCCACACCTCGTTGAGTCCTCCACATTACCACGATCTCGCCCTCCTCCTCCACTGCGATCGACATCTCTGACTTCACGGGACTTGGAAGAGCTGGAGAAGCTCCAGGACATCTACAGAAACACCGTTGGACCGCCTTCTCGCACATCACCAGACTCCTGCGAACACAGCGGCTCGGAACCATTCTACAGCATGGGAGGAGGCGAGGCCCCTGCCCGGGCCCCTGGGTTGATGTACGGTCCCACAATGGTACCTCACGCAATAAACCCACGAGTGCTTAACAAAATCGATGGGCATGATTATGACCAATACCAAAAATTCCAAGCGCCGTACCAAGTACCGAATTCTCGTGGCAATTCTGAATCACCATTGCCACTCTCCCCAACACAACCGTACCTAACTTTTGGCGATAATCGAGGTCCACGAGGGCCTTTGGCTTCATTCGGCAAATGGCGCGACCCCGTTTTGGGTCGGGTTACACCTCCAGTGATACTCGATTCAAGACGAATGTCTCCAGTATCACCTGTTCCTCCTCCTGTACCTGCACACCAAATTCCCCTAACACCTTCCCTCCTACAAATTGAACCTACAACATCTTTCTCGTCACCTATTTTTCCTGAGTCTCCAACGAAGCCCTTGCCCTCACCTACGACTTCCTCTTCTTCATCCGCAGCAATGTTCGATCAGACAGAAAACACAGGAACTATCAAGCGTCAAAAGCCTAAATTTGGAAATGACATTAGTACCTTAGAAAGACCTTTGAAAAGTGCACTGAAAACCACGTCGGCTTATGATAAGCGACAGTCCTCGGGTAAAACAAACTCAATACCTTTGCACGTAGGCATCGTGCCTCCATCATCCCGGACTGCTGGACCAGCGTCAGCACCGAGTGTCTGCAGTCCGACATCGAGCTTAAGCAGTGCTGGAAGTGGAACCCCAAATTCCATTGAACTTAAAAGTATTCTCGTAAAAAGAACGCCCAAAGCTCCTCAAGAATCTGGTTCTCCAAATTCTAATTCAAAACAAAAGCTATCTGATTCCTAATCTAACATGTGAAATTGCGTGTCGATCAATAGTTGGATTCAATGTGATGGTTGTGCACAACTTTGTAGACATTTGTCTGGTAGAAGTTCCATTTTATCTCGTAACTTTGTTTTAGGTTTATATTAGATGTCTTAATAATAGAGCAAATTTTTTTGATGCCTTAACGACATCACACAGTTTGAAGTGAATTAGTCTGCATGGCCCGTCATTAATTTTTACTTTGTTTTACATTTTAAATTAATAATCTAATGAGTAGAAAGAATTTTTATCCCTTGCATCACCAGGGTTTCCCTCCGAGCTTCTTTTTTGCTTAGAGTGCTAATCAATTATAAAATTTCTCTTCCTAATAGAGTACGAACGACGGGGAACGATTTTAAAACTGTTACAACAAGTATTTTCTAAAAATTATAACTGCCAATCGAACCGTCATCATTATCAGGTCATCATCGAAATGCGTTGGACACTTTTATCCTCTACTCAAGCATCTTTGTGCAAAAGAGCATTGAGAAACTCTCGAAATCTTTTCTTTTATCGCAATTGAAGTTTTATGACGGATTCCATCAACCCATGCTTTAATCAGCTGATATACTTAAATTATTTAAGACTTTTCATCTTGTGGCTTGAGGTTGTGAACGCTTGGTTGGTATTTTGGAAACTACGGTCCTTTCTTCGGAACACGGCCTTTTTCGGAGCTGCGATTCGTGCCGAATACCGGTAATAGGAATCGAGCTCTAAAAAATATCATGTCATATGCCTTACACGATAAAAAGGAGTGCTTGGTGTATACATTTTTGAAGAAATGTTACGCCGTTTATAACACAATTTACTTATACGTACGTTTATACCAGTTGTATTATATATTGAGTGTTTCATTTGAATGATGCTTGAGGCCGAAACCCTTAGATCATTTTGCGAATAGTTTAAACGAAGAATTTATTTGGCTTAGAGGTTGGAAACAGCTTTTTCAAATGCAGAAGATAAAGCCTCGCCATTTGGGGCGCTTGTTGATTCGAAAATTAACAAAACTGCTTCAAATCATTTACTGGATGTGTTCTATTTTCACAGACCTGTAGTCTTTATTATAGCCATCAGAGTTATAAGCTTTCGATCGAATGTTCCAAATAAGAAATACAATTTTAAAATTTTTGAAAACCTCTGTCGAAAAATGTATATTCTTGATTTGATAATGTTATTCGTTAAGATGAAATGCGGTGAAATGTAAAAAGTTGAAACAAAATGCAGATTTTGCAGCTGTGTATAAAAGGATTATTTTGTAAAAGTCAGAAATGATTTACGCCATAGCCATAACTTCTATTCATCAAAAATCTTTCCTTAATTATGTGTACTGATATAATATGCAAGAAATTAAATCTGTAAAGTGCACCAGGACTATATTTTTTTCAAATATCATCGAAACAATTGTTTGATAAAGGCAAATATTAATGGTCAACTTTTGTGTATATAAGACTGATCGAATGATTATTACTAGTCAAAATGTATTCCTGAGCGGTGTTTGAGAAATGAATTTTGGTCATTTTTTCAGCGGATTAGGGTTAGGATTAGGAAAGAAAGGCGTTTTGGCCTCGGCTCTTAATAAAATTATCCACTTTTAAGTAATATTGAAATTGATTAAAAACAACATTATACTATTAAATGAAAATAGTAATTTGTGTATTTTGATCCTGCAATGACACGGCATAATTTTGCAAAAAATATCTCTGATGAATTGCTGAAAGATTTTTTAGGATCAAAGATCACTTTTTGCGTTCGGTGACTGGTTTTTTAATTTTCAGTATTGGACTTACAGTTACGTTAGCCTCATAATCCTATAGATAACATTTTTAGAAACCATCCGCAATCTCGGATTGTTAATTATTTTATGTATAGTAAATTGGTGAGCAGTCAACTGAGGCATCAACGTTTGATTGCTTAAATAAATATTGTTTAGTGAAGTCTTTCTCTTGCTATCCCAGTTCATTTGATAATGGGCTTTTTTCCGAAAGAGTTTGTCCAGTAATTTTTCAAACTAATGGCTGTCATTCATTGGCACAACAAATGATATCATATATCCGTTTACATGAAAAGCAATGGACGTCCATTGCAACTTCAATCGTTATCGAAAAAATACTTTGATGATGCTAAATTATATTAATATGGTTGATCATGTATACGAGTTATGTTTTGGCAGGTTTTATTAAATTTAAAAAGCTTTTCACATAAAAATTTAACCCATAGATAAATGAGCAATGATTTTGAATATAGTGAATAAATTCGCGTGTTATTAAATCTCTTAAGGACTGAAAGCCCTCAATGTACTTGATTCAATTCGACATCAATTGAGCACTAATTATTCTAAAGTTGTGCGCAAAGCAAGATTTCTCTCTGGAACGTGTTAATTTAATCCTATTATTTACCTTTCAAGTTAAGGTATGGAAAAATATTATGTCAGTAGTAGTTAAGTCATCATGACAAACCAATATTTGCGTGTATCCTTTGAACTTATTCAAAGTTGTCGCTTTCTTTAATTAAAATTTTAGAATATACCGAGATGTAAGAAACTAAACGTTTTGATTATATTTCTTGTTATCGGAGAAATTATTTGAAATTTATTACTTTTTTACGACACCATATAATTTCTTCACACCATCAGCACAAATTTTTGAAACTTTAGCCAATTCAAACCTGAAAACAAAGCTCGTGGACATTTAAAAACTGTGAGGCCTGGATTAATTTTTGCGTTTCCGGTCACAGATTCTTGGGAAAATTTAGCAAATCAATATCTCAAATTTACTTAAAAACAATCTCACGATTCGTAATGAACCACAATTCCATAATTATGCAAGTCGTCGAAAAATTTTTGTTTCGCTCGAAGCTGATGCTATTCTCTAGGCGTCATGTACATGCATGTCTCAAACTCAGATTTACTTGACTGGTCACGACTTGGAAGCAAATGGGAACGCAACGTTTCACTTGATCGCCGGATCTGGTGATTCGAATGGAGATCGGTGGGTCCATTTTTCAGGAGACTTCGGTCTGTCGAAACACATCTCGTCCATAAATACGGCTCGGCTTCCCACTTACGAATCTGCCTCGGCGAGGTCTGAAATTGGTTCTCTGATCGTAATATAAATGAGGCTCTTTGGTTGGAGTTCGTAGAATCCAGAGACGGCACAAGCGGTGCTGAAGAGCAGAAAATGAAAATGATTTTTTTAAATAAATAAAACGAACTGTGGAGCAAACATTTGCGTTTTTTATCCTAGGAGTCCACAATAGAAACAAGAAATGAAAACGCGTTCGAGGATTGTTGCGTGAAATGCTGGATCTCATTCAGAATTATGGTGTCATGAATTTTGATCTGCAACAGCATTGCTGACAGCCGGATGGCACCTTACAGAATGATCATAGTGCTTGTGCTTACAATTGTGAAGCCTTATCTTCTGGGTAGAAAATTTGAATATTTTTTCATGTGCGAAAAAACGCGTTGGAGCAAAACTTGATTGTTGCTACTGCAGACCTCCATTAAAAATGATCGCCATCCCATCGGCGGCCTACGAATGGCCGACGAACGCCCACCGATAAGTAAGCTTGGATTTTCATCCTGGGTCTTTGTGATCTTCTGTAGTGGTCGTTTTGAATCTTCCTTTTTGAATGCCTGCGTTGTCCATTGTTATGCAAAAATGTTTTCGTGAGCGAAACCTGTTGTAAAATTGGCATTTTTTCACGAATTAGCACGCATAGAGCAACGCCATGAACATTTCTATTTTTTCTTTCACGTCGATGAACATTTCTAATGGCAACTAACATAAGAAATTTTTTTAAAATGATACTGGGCTCGTGAAATTGTAAAGAGGAGCATTCTCAATAATAGTCGGTTGATTTAAGATAGTTAACTTACTTTTCATTTGTCATTTTTCATTTACAAAAATTTTGTGTGTCTTCTAAATTTATAGTGCTTCCAAAATGGAAACAGTTTGAATCTATTTAAATTACCACTGTGTTTACAAGGGAAATATTGTAATGTATATAAGAAGGATATGCTTAAACCTCCTGCTCAAATCAGCATGGATTCAGACTTGCATGGTGGCGAGAAAGCTCAGCTTAAATCATGGGATGTTCTACGCGAGACGTTCGATCAAAGCTTGGCCAGCAACACCACACTAAAGGTTCATCTCCGCACTCATTTCCGAGACGTACACGAAATATTCCGTGCACTCGAATCCATCGTTCACGTAAATACAACAAAAGAAAAGAAAATGTCGTTGGTAATTCATGTTACGGACTAATTTTTAGAGTCAGTAAATTAATTTCAAGTTAAAAAGTCTATACGAGGATACACTTCTGATGAGTTTGTCATTAATTCATCGAAAAATTATTTTTGCGATGTCGGAATTCTCAAAGTGTCAAGAGGTTCTTCCACACCGTGTATCAGACGCTTTCCTGGATGCTGAATTTACTGGATGCTCTGAATTCAATGCAATTTTACTGAAAATTTTATTTTCATTTGACTGTTGTACAGCTTTTACTCTATTACTCATTCATACTTCAAATGAAACAGCTGATATTTCAATAGCTATATACACATGATGGAGCTGCCGAGAATTCGTTTCACTCTCGGCATGGTAAAATAAGTTTCAATTATTGCAAATCAATATTGTTATCTCGAATGATTTCCCAGTTTACTCTTGTAGTTACACAAAATTTTTTATTGATAGAATTAAATTTTTCTCGAGGAAATTCGAAGATACGGAACCTTATGATTCAAAGTTCTAATTTGATGCAATTCATCGTGCAACAGGAACTCCTATAATTTCGTTTCCATCTGATTATATTTAATTATTGATGATCCTTCGTCTGGCAGTTATTGAGAGATCTATAAATCATTGATTATTATAAAAATCTGGTAAAGTATTGAATTTAACTTACCGTAATTATGTTATGCAAATTTTTTAGCAAATTTTAATGGTATGAAGTCAATGGAGAAATTGTATGCTGAAAAATATGTAGTTGTCGATTTCAGTGATTTGTACGCTAGCACCCAATAGTAGAATTTTAGCTAATTCAATCTCTGAAAAATATCTGGAAAATTTTATAAAAATTTTCACATTTTTTTCTAATGTCCTGCGTCGAATTATCTGCAGCGTGCAATTCTTTCCCAACAAATAAATCATTTATCATTTTTCTTCGTCCACATCTCAGTAAAATTTCGTTGAAACATGCAACGATTTGAACGAACACTTTTGGTAATTAGACCCGCCGTTTTATCAGCTCGCCCATCTCGCATTTTCCCCCTGACGGCAATTAAGGCTTGTAAAAATACCGTGCCTAAGATATGCATTAATGAATTGCAAGTCTCGCTGTCCCCTCGAGAATTGCAAGGAAACTGCGATGTTTGCGACGCTCATTTCGTCCTTGCTGATTCTGCCTTCGGACTCCTGCTGGTGTAAGAAAAACACTCTGGAGTCCAACGAAATTAAGGGTAAAACTGTCAATTCATTTATTTTATTTCTATTTTTATCTACTGGTTGAGAATAAGAAATAATTTTCAAGCTATTTTCGCAAGGGTGAAAGTGTCAGATAATTTATTTTATTGGTTTTCTTATTTTCACTCGCGGTTGAAAAGAATAAATAATTTTAAATTTATTTTCTTTCTCAGTTGGCAGATAATGGAGCATACGAATAATTAGGATATTACAAATGTAAAAGAGAGAATTTTTGTCGATAACTTTTTCGATTTCATAACTAGACTACAGATCGAAAAGCTTGCACATTATTAGCTATAAAAGTTTTATGCAAATTGATTGTGATTGTGTAAGCCGCAAATTTATCTACGTCTTCGCAAATCTACATGTCTAACCAAGTATTTAGATATTTTAAATGCACTCCGAAATGTTATATTTAGTTTACCTTCATGCGCGGTTGGTGAAGTCGTGCTATTGTATCTTTTACAGGTATTCATTATATGGCGTTCATTATTTGTTTTAAGATGAACAGGATTTTGTTTAATTTATTTTACCGAAATGTAGGCCTTCAGGCGTTGAACGTACTAATTTTTCGGGATTAATTTTACCAGATGTGCCGAATTGATATTAGATTTATATATATACATAAACAATTTGTAGAAACAATTAGCCTATGTGATTCTTATAAGTTTTGTAATGTCATAGACAAAAACTGATTTAAAAATTGTGTAAAGTATTTTCCAAGTTTTCTCCAACGATTAAAATTATTATCAGCAGTTGATGACTTTGTCTTGTATATTTTGTTTAAATTTTTTTCGCCTTGTAGATTCTCATAAATTTTGTTCCACACCGTAAAATTCGTCATCAGAAATGCGTAAAGCGCTTTCGTACAGAACTAAATTATTGAATAACCAAATATGCTGTAAATTCAAGCAAGCTTCCGGTGAAAAGTGAGAAATCCTTCATATTCTCGATGCAGGCGAGTCTGTTGTTACTCTTTATCTCCTTTTAAAATTTCCGACCTGAAATAAATTTTAAGCAATCGTCCCAACATTTGATGAAGCTGCCGTGAACTGAATTTCGTCTTTGCGTGATAAAATTACGGAGGACCCTGAATTGCGGACCTAAAATCCTTGAGAAAACGAAGTGCGGACATCCGCGTGTGCCGCAAACACTCCGGCCTTCGACTGTTGTCCGAGAGCGGGGACTGAAGTGGAGGGCGGCGAGGGATGACAATGAGTGATGAGGGGGCAACGAAGGGCGACGAAAATGGTTGAGGGGCAACGAGAGATGAATAGACAAAATGGGAAACAAAATGGGATGGAAAGCAACGACGAAGACATGGAAAGAAACGACGAAGACTGGTGAGGATGATAAAAGCATGCGCAATAAAAAAATTAGATCAGTACTCACTGCAGTGCAATGAGAGAGAGCGCATTTTCAAAATTACGACACGTTTTGAAGTATTTTTAAAATCGACGAAAACGTGAAGT